CACATTCCTGAAGCTAAAAATAAAAGTGCAGCCCGACATTTCTTAAGACACAAATGTCCTGGCCAAGAACTTTCGTGGCAGCAAATCTCACTGCTGAGCAAGACTCAGACAGGAAAATAAATCACCATGCTCCCCAACAGACGTGTGGAACCGCCCTTTGCTGCCACTGACCTCCTGTGCACTCGGCCTGTCCCCTCACATGTCTGTGGCCGTGATGAGTCTTCAGACACAGGCCACAGCACGTCGGCAAGCAGGGCTCTGTGCTCGGGCATCGGTCAGGCCTGGCTCCACCAGAGTCCCCCTCGCCCACCACAGACCTGGCATCGGCCCCGCCATGGGGGCTTCAAGGATGCCCCAAGTCCTAGAACAAGTTCCACTCGCAGTGTGCTGCAAAGTCTCACAGTAGCAGCACCATGGTGGCCAGGCTTCCGGCCCGTGATGGGCCTGCTTCTGGCTTTACATCCTCCTGGCCCTCTCCAGCTCTCACTGAAATCAGCGGAAGGGCCAGGGGCCTCTGCATGGGAAGCAGGAAGTGCGTTTCCCATGGAAGCCATAACTCAGAGTTTCTAGAACAAATGCACCACCCAGCGTGATGGAGAGAGCATGCTGACCCCATAATTCCTTGCACATGGTGATGTGGAGGGGTTCGGGGGAGGCCCCCCAGGTTCACCCCAGGTGGGGGTGGGAGACAAGGAGAGGAGACAGCAAAGGACTTCCCGGGCAGTCCCGGCTCCTTCCCTGGCCTGGCAGGTGTGGAGAGTGTCACCCCACAGAGGGGCCAGGGCCGACCCTGACCGCTGCTGCTCTGTCTTCCACGGACTGAGTCGTGTCCCCCATGAGACAGGACCAGCCAACAATGGAGCCTGAAGGATCTGACACCCCAGCTCCAGCACCAGCCACACACTCTGCTTGAGCCACCCCCTCGGGAAGGGAGGGGCAGGAACCCGCATGTGGAAGAGGAGGTGGCCCATCAGGGACGTAGGACCAGGACCCCTGACTCAGCCCCTCCAGGACACGGGAGCAGGGCTCTGAAAACCCACCTGTGCACCCAAAGCGACTCAAAGGGAGCTCGGGTCTAGAATGTGACGGCCGATGGCTGCAGGCAGCAGTCGCTCTGAGGGGAGGGCAGGGTCTTGAAGAGAAGGGCTTGTTGCTGCCGAGATGCAGTGGGAATAACAGGGCAGCTTCGTCACCGCAGAAAAACAAGCCCAGGAATTTGGAGACATTCAGAAATCCTCCCAGGACTCAAAAGACAGATGTAAAAAGATGATGTGACAAGGGACCAAGAGACCCGGAGACGAGGCCGGGAAGAGGGCACAGGACGGGAGCAGGCAGAGGAGGGGACACACTGACACGGATGACCCTCCTGCGCACCAGACACGAATGTGCATCTTCAGAGTGGAAGGGCTGCTGTGAACAGAAGAACTGACTATAGAAAATGACAGAGAGGGAGAGACAGACAGACGAAGAAAGAGAGACCGAGACACAGGCAGAGGGGGACTGACAGAGAGAGTGGGGGAGACGGACTCATTTTAAAGGACACAGAATAAAGAAACACCAGAAGCAGGCTGCTGGTGATGAGGGACGGATCTGCAAGGGGTCACGCCCGGCTTGCCCGGGCCTCCGGGCCTCTGCAGAGCAACGCCGGCAGACCAGGGGGGAGGCACGGGAGCCTCCCTGGGCCCCCACAGTGTGTTTGAAGATGTGCCTGACCAGGGCAAACCGGGAAACGAACTCTGTGGGAGGCGAAGGGGGGGCCCAGTTGCCTCCCCAACAAGATGAAGTCAGTGTCCCAGGAGAGAGGCACGAAGCCACCATCGAATCCTTAGAAGGACTGGGGAGAACCTCCGCCCCTGCCTGACATCCATCACCTTCCAGCTCCGTTTATTAAAGGTTCTGCTCTAGAGAAATTCCAAATTCTTAGGCAATCAAATGGGTCCCGCTAGTTTTATGACGCTCGGCTTGGGGCCATATGGAAGCCCTTCACCACTGCACGATCTTACACCATTATCCTGACCAGTTCTATTAGTCCACGGTTTCAGTTGTACATTCAGACCTTTAAATATCAGACTCATCTGGGGCCTGGCACCTGTGAGCTCTCACCTTCTCTGAGAGACACACGCAAACTGCTGTCTGCTCGTCAGTCATTTGGATCCTTACAGGGCCCTCTGCAACAGCCCCGGGGGACAGCTCCACGGTGCGGGAGGGTGAGCCACCCAGTGCCTATAGGGTACAGGGTCCATGGGCCAGAGCAAGCTGGAGCTAAAGGGGGCCAAGGACTGGGAGTGCTGGCTCGATCACCAGTGGGGCCCGTCCCTTAGACTGTGACCAGGGGGCCAAGCACACTGAGGGGCAGTGGGACCCCATACAGGCTCAAAGAGAAGTGGGTGTGGGGACCCTCAGTGGCAGAAACAGGCCTGAAGATGGGGCTGCAGCCGAGGGGTGGAACACGGCCTGTGAAGGAAGGAGCAGTGGGGGGGGGTTCCCTGCAGGAAGGCCGGGGTCCGGAGTTTTCTGGGTGTGGTCACATCTGTGGATCCTGGATCCAGGCACAGAGGGGGACCGGCTGCCCAGGGTCCTGCTGAGGCCAAACCTGGATGAAGGGTCCTCTGCATTTCTCCCTGTCCAAGCCCTTGGGCTCTGCCAGGGCCCTGCACCCCAAGTTCAGGCTCCTGTGGACATGCACCTGCGGACACGCACCTGCCTGATTACCAGAGCCAGCTGTGTGAGGGACTGGGCTCATCTCTTGTCCCTGCTAACCACTGACTCCACGAAGCTGCTCAGAGATGGGGTCTCAGTGTCTAAGCCCAAACACACATTCCCTGAGAACTAGGCACTGCAGACCCCTGTGAGATGAGGTCTAATTTCTCCTGGCGAGTTCCAGCGGGGGTTCGTGGATCGGTGAGAGGCCTTTCATGGTGGAGTCTCAGGCACCATCTGTCACTTCAGCCCCCTCCCCAGAGAGGCTGTGCTTACATCACTTGGGACAGAAGGAGGGAGGACGAGGGTGCAAGGCAGCCCTGGAGGAGCTGGGGCGGGGATGACAGCAGCGGGCAAATGGACGAGCAGCAGCAGCAGCCCCAGACCCTGGCGGGTGGAGGATGGATGGCCAGGGCCTGCGCAGAGACATGCTCCCTCCTGGCTCCGGCTCTGGCTCCCACCGGGAGCGCTCGCCTCGAAGCATCTCTCGGGCTATAAATACATATGTGAGTCAGAGGAGCAAGCACTTCCAGCCGGGCAGCAGGCCTCTCCCAGCAGCGGTGTCAGCCTGCATGAGGGTCCGGGCTCCTTTGCTAGCCTGCGTGGCCCACTTTCCAGTTTAGATGGAGAATAATTAACAAAGGAAGGACTTCTGTCTCCCTGCCCGACCCTCACTGGGCTGGGGAGGCTAAGTGCATGCCCTGTGCCCTGGCGGGAGCTGAGAGGACCCCAGAAGGCGCATCAGGGCAGGGCGGTGCTTCAGAGTGCAGGGCTGGCTCCCTGGCGACTCTGCAGGTGTGGGACCCCTGCTTGAAGAGGGCCCCGGTGTCTGTCTCTATCCCTCCCACCCACTTCCTTCCTCCAGATATTACATCCTTCCATCAAAAACCAATGGAGTCTGGATGCATCCTGGTCCCATTGTCAGGAGCCGGAGCCCATCCAGCACCGGAGTGCAGCCGGGTGTTTCAGGGCCGGCAGGTGCCAAGACCCCGGACAGGCCTGGACAGAGCTGGCCTTGGCCCCCCACACGCTCGCCCCACCCTGTCTTTCCTTCCTCTCCCTCCTTTCTTCAGGCTGTAGCAACACAATGGAACTCCAATGTCTAGTAACGGGGACTGGTTCCTTGGAGACCCTGACCTCTGACCCTTGACCTCCAAGGCAGCTGATTAGGTAGGAGGAGGGCAGAGCCTGGTTTTCAGGTCCCACAGCCTTCAGGGTCTCAGGCAGTGGGAACCCCGAATTTCATGGCCTCTTGCTCCTACACTCACATGAGCAACTTGCAAAATTTAGAAAACTCTTGGGCGCCCCGTCTGTCAGGTGTCCCATATCTTAAGGGTTTGGAGAAACAGCTATTTTCCTGTCCACACCTCTCCCTGGGTCCCCTCTCCATGACCCTGCAAGCGCATCCATTTAGATGAAACCCCACATCCCGGACAGAATTTTAAATCTGTTGGGACTGTGTGCACATAATCATGCACATGCTGTGGGCTGACCATGGGGAAAGCATCAGAAAATAAAATAAAGTAAAAATAAAATAAAATAAAATAAAATAAAATAAAATAAAATAAAATAAAATAAAATAAAATAAAATAAAATAAAATAAAATAAAATAAAATAAAATAAAATAAAATAAAATAAAATAAAATGCTAGCACGATCTCTTATGGGCTCACAATGTCCTGCATTCTCCACAGCCGACACCATCATTCACAAGCAGCCAGCCCAGCACACAGGTTTCCCACGCCCTGCCCGCTGCCTCTGCCAGGTCCTCCTTGCTGCCTCTCCCCCTGGATGAGGGACACCTGCCCACAGGCAGCCCCCACACCTCCCACCAGACTTCCTTCTCCACCCTCCAGACGACACCCCACGCCTGTTGAACGGGTGGGTATGCCCCCTGATCTCTGGACTCGGATTCTGCTGCCGCGTGGCCAAGGGCCCGAGAGCTGCTTGGAAACGCAGCCTCCAGCCCCAGGACCAGAGCCAGGACCTGCATTTTAACAGAACTCCAGCCACTCGCACGCTCGCTGAATCATGCAGGTTTCAGAGGCTCACCTGTCACGGCTCTAGAAATGCCTACCTCCTCCCAGCAGTGGGAAAGAAACATTTAGGGAGAGGCAGAAGCACCTGCCCCAGCTTTGGGGGACGCTCTTTGTAATTCCAAAGTAGCTTTGCTAGTTTCTGAACGTGAAGTTGCCTGGTGCCTACTGTGGCTGACTCATAAGGCCACCACGTCTCGTGACTGCACTGGGAGGGGCTTGATCTGTCCCTGGTTACACCTTCACCCTTGAGTTTGCCCTTTGCTCATTTCAACTGTTTCAAATGGGGCAACAGCTGCCAGGCCTGCGAAGCCTCCTACTCGCTCCCTGGTCCGGTTCATGAGGAAGGCGGGACATCGAAGCAGAGCATTTACACCCTAGGAGGCGATGGGGGGACAGGCCAGGTTGGGGCCAGAGCCTCCTGGGAACAGGCAGCTTCAAACAATGAGCTCGGCACCCCCAAAGCAAGTCAGGTGAGGTGACCGGCCGCAGGCCCTGCAGGGCCCTGAGCAGAGGAGCTGCTTATTAAATGCAGGCTTGTTGGGGAGAGGGGTCTTTCACGGAGGGGGATTTGGGATGCTGGCCACTCAGCCGGGAAGAATTTGCTGCCCCAGGGTGTGCTGAATGCCACCTTTGTCAGGCAACACCATCTCATTAGTTCCATTTTTTGAGCTGTCACATACAGCAGTTTCTGCCCATCTGGGGCCTCATTATACTCCTGGGGAGACAGCGAGGCCAGTGAACTCCCCTCCTGGGCACAAGCTCAGACACGTCTGTTCAGGGGTGGGCTAGGGGCCCCACGGCCAGGCTGAACTTCAGATGAGAGGCTATTACACCAGTTCTTGGGGACATCAGCTATGTCCTTGGACAGGGACCAGATACAACCTGGCCTTAACAGGGCGGGGGGCAGGCCTGCAACCCTCGACTCTGTTTTCAATATTAAGCCTTGAAACAGGGAAGTCAGCACATCCCCAAACACTGAATGCCCCAGGGCTCTGGAGGGTGCACACTGCCCCTCAGCAAGTGCAGGGCCTCTTCCCTCCAGACTCTGGGCCAGGCCCTGAGGCAGGTGGGCAGCAGCCAGAGACAGGGCCCTGCACCGGGCAGTCAGCTCAGTCCTCCCTCTTCTGTGGGACTCCTGTCCCCTCCATCTCTACATGTCCACTCTTATTCTAACACCCTGAGCTTTGAGACTTCGCATGCGCACCCGGCTTCTCTGAGGGCTGGTGGTGCCACGGCACCTCCCACAGGGGCCGGGTTTGGGCAGCTGGACTCATGAGGGTGGCCAGCCAGCCGGCAGGCCACCAAAAACTCCCCATCTCGCTCATGAGCCTGGACCAGGCAGGATGCGGGGCACTCAGGCCCCTCTCAGATCCAACCTCTGTGGGAGAGCCCAGCCCTGTGCTCCTCAGGGGCTGCCGACAGAGCCCCGCTGCCCATGGCCATGCCGGCCCCATCCTTAACCGACACCCAGGACCGCTGCCACCTGGCTACAGCCCATGGGCTCCCAGGGCAGACACCCTTCCTGCTGGGCCTGCAGTGGGGCAGACGGTTCTTTTACAAAAAGGTGACCAAGGCCCATGTGTTATAGTTCCCTCATCTTGCCCCTCTGCCTCCTCTGCCAGCCCCTTCCACCTCTGAGCATCCCCGTGTCCCCATGCTGCCTCTTGGTTCCCTCTGCTCTGCTGCAGCAGGCGAAGCCCCATGTGCTCACTGCTTAAATGCAATGCCTGTGCTCCGGCACAATGTGGGGTTCATTTGTCTGGCAGGTGCTTATCACATTCCAGAGTGTGACAGACCCCTGAGACCTCTGGTTTGGACCCCTCTGACAGAGTGCTGTCTGGCCTCAGTGGGACCCACAGCTGGTGCCCAGGCTCTGAGGGCACCTGCTAGACTCTGGTCTGCAAGGCCAGGTTGCTCCTGAGCACTTGAGCTAAAAATACAATTGCTGAAGACACAGCAAATCACAACCGTGCTCTGCAAATGTGCCAAAAGCCTCCTAACAATACATGGTCCGGCAGCAAAACAGCCGGCCCAGCGTCTGCTTTTTCAGTGACATTGAAAGGAGAGAGGTCATGCTGTGTCTTGCATCCTGGGTCAGAGTCGTGACCAACCACTTCTGTCACTCCCTGGCCTCCTTCCCTGGTCCAGCACAGGGGCTGGCAGCTGGGCAGGCTTTGGATGTCGGTGGCATGGCATAGCTCCTGGGGGAGGAATGACCTCTGGTCCTGGCCTGGGCCACCCCTCTACCCCTGGTCTGGGCTCTCCCCTCAGTTCAAAGTGATTGTCCCTGGGCCCCTGGGCTCATTCTCCATGTGCTCTGGATTCCAGAATCCAGGTGACAGGTAAATCTGACAATATACTCTGGCCAGTGGGGTGGAAGTGGTCAATATACCTCTGGAGTAATGTTCAACCAGAGCAGACATACTTCCTTTTCATGGAGCTTTCTCTGGTTGGCTGGAATACAGATACAATGGCCTGCACTTGGGCAGCCACCTGAGACTATGAGTCACCAGTTTTATCTTGGTGGATAGACATCACATGTATTGTCCTAGACAGCCTACCTTTTAGGTTTAACTGTACACATTGCTACTCTCTTTCCAGATTATCACGTGTTCTTCACGTTCTCCATGTTTTTGTTTCGGCTGCATTAGAGATCATGTCTTCGGATCTACTCTCCATTTCACTAGTCCTTCCTCTAACGACATCTAACCACAATTAGAGCAATCTGCTGATTACTGAATCTTTATTGTTTTAATTTTATTATTAAACCTTGAAGCTTTATCTCCAGGAATTACACTTTTTTTCATTTCTAGAGACTCTACATGATCTTTCTCAGTTCGGCTCGATCACTATTTTTGTGGTCACATACACTCTTTATTCGCACATTAAATCCCTTTTAATTTAGTTAGGCTTCCTGGGTGTTCTGTCCCCAAAACCCCACAATCAGAGTGTTTGTGAGTCGCATTCTGTTGCCTTCAAGCTTTACGGTTTTTCACTCTGATTGCACATCTTGAACTTTGACCTGTGGGAGCCCCAGGAGGCTGGACTGAGGTTGGGTTCTCCCGCAATCACTACTCACCTGAGACCACTTCAGCTGAACTTCTGTTCAATTGAGGGTACCTTAGGTACCATAATTTGGGATGCCCCCTCATGAGGGTCAGCCGGTGGCCACAGATCTCAAGAGAGACATTTTCCTCTCCACTCAAGGCCAAAAGTAGAGACCGACGTTCCCCTGGGTGGGGGGGTTGGGGAGCTGCTCTAATTCATCTTTACATGGAGGGTGTGGCCCCTCGTGTGTCAGGGGTCTCCCAGGGACTGCCCTCCTCCAGTCGGCCTTCAGTGGTGTCATCTCCCAGCTGGGCCTCTGGGACAAGTTCAATTCAAATTTGCCATCCAGCAAATGTCCCCCAGGCACAGGGCGTCCCCCAGGTCCCCTGGCTCCTATGCACACGGCAGGTTTGGCCTGTTAGTGTTCATTCCTCACCTGCCAGCTCACGCCAGCGTCTGAGAAAACACCGCTCATGTTTTATTCAGCACTTTTGCTTCCAGTGGGAGTGATGGGCAGGGAACCAAGTCCCCAGATCTGCCAGAAATAGCAGTCCTCTCTGTGTGTGTTTAAGATCCCTGGTGCCAGAAGGGCTCCCCTGCCTGGACCTGGGGTGGGTGAGGGAGGTGGGGGGATGCCTCTGCTGCCCGCAGACGACCTGTGCACAGCGTCTGGGTGGGGCTGGCAGAATCAAGGTTGCTCCAAGGAGAAGCGCTCTTTGTGGTCGCCACATGAGAAGATGGAAAGGTGTGTCTCATGTGGCGTGTGCACAGTGCAAGGCCAGCTTTGCTTTATAAAATGTCCACATTGTTTGTGGTGTGGGTATTTTTGTCATCATTCCCACCTCACAGCACTTGGGTGGCCTGGCCCTGGGTCCCCGATGGGCTGCATGCCTGCTGCTGGGACCCTCTCTGTGAGGAGCAGATGCTCACCCAGCCTCGGCTTCTCTGTTCCCAGACAACCCTGTGAGTCATGAAATGACCTTGCATCATCAGCAAAGGCAACTGGACAAAAAGCCCCTGTGTTGGGCTGAAGTGGGCAGAGCCACTGTTTGCTGGGAGGTAACTAGGTGAGGAAGAAGAGGCCTCTCTACCTGAGAGATTTGAAAGGCACAGCCCCAAAATGCAGACGAGTGCAGCCAGGGCAGCGGGGTGCTCAACAATGAAAATAAAATTGTTTCTGTGCACAAAGGGCGGGTTGTTTACGGGCACTTCGTGCACACTTTTGCCTGCATCCCTCCTCGCTGTTCCGTGAGGATTTGCCAGCCTGCCTCCTTTGCAGACCCCATGAGTCCCGCTGTCGCACCGGCCCCAGCCGGCCCCAGGGTCATGTCCCCCAGGTGGGCAATCTCAGGAACCTCTTTCCTCCTCTTTCCACTGAAGTCCCGGGGAGGACACTCATTGCTGGGTTTGGGCCCAAAGAGGCCACGTGGGTGTCTGGGCTACCTTGGCTGAGGGCTGCCTGCTAGGTCCAGCTGGCCATGCATCTGTCCAGTCCTTGTCCTGAGTCCCGTGTGTCCAGGATCACCAGTCTAGGCAGGTACAGTCTATTGCCTGTGGCTTTATAATTTTTGGACACTTATGCTGCCCCCAGTTGAGTGTGGCTGGGTTTGGGGGAGTGGGAGATCCCCAGGCTGGCTGGCTGAGGGTGGGGGATGTCAGGAGTGGGGACTCTTAGGCTCCCCCGGCATTGGCCCCTCAGGTCCCCCTTGGCATGGCTCTCTCCCAGGTTGATGGGAAATCCATCCTGGCCCTCTCCTGGAGCTGCCAACTTGCCTTTGGTGACCCAGGAGCCTCAGCCAGGACCCCAGGACACAAGCAGAGGGTCCCCCCTTTCTCCTACACTCTTCCCCACAATCCTGATCATGGCTAAGGGGCCCTGAGCACTGCTTCCCAGAGCCTCCTTCTCAGGCCTTTGACCCGGGCCTCCTGAAGTGGAGAAGGCAGGGTTGAGGCCATCCACCCGTGAGCCTTGCCCAGGGTCCAGTGCTTGGCCAGGGCTCAGCTTTATGCTGCTCACCTGACCTCCTGGGACGGGAGCAGCCCCTCCTCACAGGCTGTGTGACAAGGAGTTCTGCACGTTCAGTGGGACCCGCATAGAGCAGGACCATCCCTTAGTGAGAAGCATCCAGACACGAGTGGTGGGCATGTCCTTGGCCCTCCCATGAGTCCCAAAACCCTGATTCATACGGGGGCTTCTCCCCACTCTCACCTAATGAAGTTCTCTTGGGCTGACCCTACCTCCTCTGCTCAAGTGGTAGATACTGCCCTGGCCTGACCAATCAGTGCACTCCGCCCCTGGCTCCACCACTGCGACTGGCTCAGGATGAACAAGTGACTCAATCCCAGCCAATGGGCTTCTTCCCTTGGATTTTAGCTGGAATCAGGAGGAAAGAAGCGCTTTCTGCTAGAACTGTGCCATCCACCCACCCCCAGGGCGGGGCGGGGGGAGAACTCTGGGGCTGGCAGAGGTCTCTGAGAATGAGGTTGACAGGAAGTTACCAGAACCAAGGGGAGAAGCAGAGAGATGACTCCTGGGATGAAGGCACAGTTATCCCATGTGGGCTTAGCTAATTATAGCAGCCTTGCTCCTGGTGTGAGGGTCTAGGGCCTCGTGATCCTGCCATGACAGGTCAGAGTGGGGGTGTGCAGACCTCCGCTCCAGGTTTGGGGCACATGTGAACATTAATGGGTGCGGGACAGTGTGGTCTATACACTGTCAGAGCACTCCGCAACCGGCAGTGATTCTCTCTGGCAGAAGCGAGTGCCAGGTTCTTTTAAATCACACAACGAATGCATATTTATTACGGGAAAGTGAGAAAACGTAGGCAGGCAAAACAAAATCATTAAGGCTATCCACTATTCCAAAGTGGCAACAGTTGGGGGTTTGCGCTGCCCTTTCTAGACATTTCCCTGCACAAAACTCATACCTGTCAGGTCCCCATATTTATAGAAATGGGTCTCTGTTCTGCATAACCCACTGTTTTCACTTTAACGTATTGTGCACATTTTCTGTGGCAGCAGCGATACAAGGCAGCCATCATTTTTAAGGGCTATGTGGATTTCATTGTGGAAGTCGATGCTAATTTACAGAAAATCCATTGTTATCAGGCTCCTGAGTTTGTTGCTTTGCTTTGTTTTCACTTTGAACATCATGTCTGTACCTACATCAGTTTGCAGAGTGATGCAGTTAACTCCTCGGAGTTAACAACAGACATGAAATTGCATGTGTCTACTGGTTGGCGTGTCTTGTAAGTCATCAGACGGTGTCCTGTGCAGCTGTGGGACGGCAGGCTCCCAGGCTCCGAGGCCCCGTGTACTTTGTCGTGACGTTGAGACTCCACCCATCTCAAGGGTGAAATACTCACGTGGTTTCCCATTAGAATTTGCAGTTCTCACATTTCTAAGCATTTTTATAGAGTTGCTGACTAATTGTGTTTCTCTTCTGGGAGACATTTTTGCCTCTTTAAATTGGGGGTATGTCTTTGTGTGACTCCCTCAGGACTAGGTCCTCAGTCAAGGACTTGCCCCTCAGTAGTTCACGTGGGAGGTGGTCCCAGGACCCTCCCAGGGTGAGAGACCATGAGCTGGAAAGAGAAGGCGACAAGCAGGGGTGTCTTATAAGCCACCTGCCTGTGTCCCCTTGAAAGAGAACATCCCTCCCATCTATCCACCCCTCCAAATGGCCTTGATGTCCTTGTCAACAATCACTTGACCGTAGATGTGAGGGCTTATTTCTGGGCTCTCTGCGCTATTCCCCTGGTTTATACATCTGTCCTCACCAGTTTCATCGCTGCAGTTTTGTAGCAAGTTTTGAAATCAGGAAGTGTCATCCCTCCACAAGTCCTCTTCTAAGTGTGCCTAGAAAACCGTCCTATGCCCTGTGAGAACGCTCCCACACTCCCAGCCCCTGCTCTGGCTCTGTCTTTGCTGGTCCAGCCTCCCCATAAACAGGACAGGGGAAGGGAGATGGAGTCCTTCACTCCGGTAAAGATGTAGTCGAGGGAGTGGGTCTGGGCTCTCTGTGTGCCTCAGAGACCATGAGGCGATGCAGACCTGGCACATGGACCCGACCTACCGGGGACTCACAGGCCATCGCAGTGGTACCTGCTTCTCTCCTGGGCCAGGTGCTCACTGTTTCCAGTGGACCAGCGCTGCCTGTTCCATCTCGTACGTTGCTTTCTCACCTTTAACTACAGAAGCCCAGTCGCTTGCACCATGGCCAGACACAGTTCCCTGCCTCACTGTCTCACTGTCCTGTCCTTCTGTCCCCTCTTGCTGGGGCACGTGCTGTGTAGCCCCCAGGAATCTCACCAGCCCCTTTCCGTTGTACCCGGGTCTCCATGAGCCTCGGGTGTGTGGCATTCTCTCTGTGCCGTGGTCGGCATCCACGTGATGGTCAGGGCAGATGTCACGGGCCATCAGCATCACGTTTGTCCTCTCTTCCACCAAATACGCAGATGCCAATCAGTGCTTTGGGTTTCTGGATGCTGCTCCGTGGAATGTTGGCCACAGTGAATCAAGCTGTCCAAGGTCCTGCCCACAGAGGTCCTCAGTGGCCAGAGGCCACGAGTGAGTGAGCTGACAGGTTGTAGGAGGAAAGTGTTCAGAGAAAGATGGAGCCAGCTGAGATGACCAGTGGTGCTGGGTGGGCTGGGCTGGGGGTGAGGCTGTACACGGGGGCCCGGGAAGAGCATCTGAGAGGCCACATGAGAGCAGACAGCTGAAGGAAGAGG